TACATTACATAAATACATATGAACGAATGATTGCCAGCTCAACACTAAGGCCATTTAATGTCCCATCTCCTCTTCTACCTCCAATTTATCGAATTCCTCCTTTCCCTCCTTCATAATTCACACCCAAAGGAGAAAAAGATCAGTAGGAATTTTCAGGAAATCTCTCAACCTCAGAGAAAGATCTGTACCACGCACAAGTTATAAACCAGTGAATCCTGCCACATGCCTATAGCACCTGAATACAGAAGGATTCCTTCCCAGAGAAGTACACTTGACCTTGTACTACACACAAATGTCTATGCAAGCTGGGCAGGGGGAGGCACACCTGTAATCCCAGCACTCGAAGAGGCTGAGGAAGGAGAATCACACATTCAAACCCAGCCTGGGTGACTTAGCAAGGCCCTGTCTCAAAATTTAAAAAACAATACAAACAAATAAACAAAAAAACACTTTTCTTTTTAAAGACTCAGGGATGTGGTTCATTATGAAGGCCCTGAGTTCAATCCCCGGGACTGAAATGAAAGAAGAGAGAAAGAGATGAAATGAAAGATATTCACCCAACATAATTTTTAAAACCAATATATAGTTGTCCTTGACCTTCCCTACCTGTGACCCCATTCATGGATTCAACTAACGAGGGATTAAAAAAAAATTGGATACAAGAATCATGTCTGTTTGGAACATGTGCAGACTTTTCTTGTCATTATTCTCTAAAACCACAATATAACCACTTGCAATAGCATTTTCATTATTATTAGGTATCATGTGTAAGATAGGAATGATTTAAAGCATGGGTTAAACGCACATACTATATGCCATTTTATGGAACTGATTTGAATAGCCATAGATTTTGGTACCCATGGGGTTCTGGCACTAATTCCCAGGGATGCCAAGCAATGACTGCAATCATCCCATAGTGGAGGACCCTGACCTAGAGCAGAGGTCTGCAAACTACACCTCATGTACCAATGTGTATAAATATAGTTTTATTAGAGCCAGGGATATAGCTCAGGCAAGTGCAAGCTCCTGAGTTCGATTCCCGGTACCAAAAATATTACATCTATATATGGATAGATAGATAGATAGATAGATATAGATATAGATATTTATTTATTTATAGTTTTATTATAATACAGCCACTCTCATTCATTGACATGTTATCTAGAGCTGCTTTCACACTACAATGTGGCATTATACACAGATGTTCCCCAACTTACAATGTGCTACTTCCCAATAAGCCCATCATACACTGAAACTATCATAAGTCAAATATGTGTTTGCTGGGTGTGGTGATGCACGCCTGTAATCCCAGCATTCAGGAGGCTGAGGCAGGACAACTGCTGCAATTCAAGGCTAGCCTGGGCTATATAATGAGCTCGAGGTTAGGCTGTTCTACCATGTTAGACCCTATCTCAAAACAAAAATGAGTTTAACACAGCTAACCTAGCAAAAACCACAGTATAGCAACAGTGCCTGCTGCATCTCCTTGTGGTCACACAGCTACTCCACAGCTATAGCTCACTGCTGCTGTCCAGCACCAAAAGAGAATATCCACTGGCACTATAGCTCAGTGGTAGAGTATATATTCATGGGGCCTTGGGTTCAAGTCCCAGCACTGAAGAGGCACGGGGACAGATAGAGAATCAATCATACCACACATTGCTAATCCAGGAAAAGAGCAAAGATCAACACTTAAAATTTGAATTCCAGAGTCTATTGGATAAATATTGCTCTTGCAATATTTAATTTGGCATTATAATTAATATCTGAAAGTGAAAGGGAGTCTATGTATGGGTTAAAAGCACATACTACATGCCATTTTATGGAACTGATTTGAATAGCCATAGATTTTGGTACCCATGGGGTTCTGGCACTAATTCCCAGGAATACCAACCAATGACTTTATAATGCCAAACTTTCATTAAGTCAAAAGCCATCACTAAACAAGACCTTCAGTAACTGCAACAACTGTTTGGTTCACAAAGTCTAAAATATTTACTACCTGATCCCTTATAGAAAATATTTTCCAATGCCTGATCAAGACTCTCAGGGATGAAAACTTCTTTTTAGCCTCTTGATAAAGCAAGGCAAGTAGATGATTTCGTCCACCCACTTAATTTAGTATATACAGAGACACTGAAAATTCTCAGCTAAAGCATCCACTTATAGGAAAACTAAAAGTTGGATAAAATTACTTGATCTTTAGCTACTATATGTACACTGAGTAACTGTATGTAATGGCTTCTTTAAACATTGCCATCAAATGACCAAGGTAAGCACAACAGGTTCATAGGAAAGCTTCGCACAGAAGCTGGGCATAATGTATTTAACAGTACAAAAATCGTGACGGGTGCAATAAACTGACTACAAAAAAGTACCACAAGATACCTGTGGCATCTTCACACCTGCAGGTCAGACATCCTCCACGTACAGCTCATAGACTCCTGGGGACCCTGAGACCACTCAGAGGGCTCACAAGGTCAAGAGTGTTCTTCATAATGAGACTAAACAAACAGCTCTATCCCACTGCCGTGAGTTTGCACAAACATGCAGAAGCAGTGTCGAGGAAACCGAGGGTGCATGAGCAAGAACCAGGCAGGAGCACCACCCTGATCTAGTAGTCCCTGTATCCTCCACACCTCACTCTCAGCTTGTTTTTAGTCAAATGTCAATTTCATTTCGGAACATCCTTGATGAACAGGAAAAAATACTCACTTTATGAAAGTTAGGCACTTGAGCTCACACTTAAAAACTCCATGTAACAAAATGGGAAGTATATACACAATGCTTCCTTCTCCCACCAAACTGGTGATGGTCTATTATAAAGTATTTGCATGACAGCTGAAGTTGTACAAAGAAACAGCTCCCTTTTTTCATAGGATATCATGAAAACATGACAACACAGGTATTCAGAGTGGAGATTTGACAGGCATTGCTCTAAACTGTAAGCATTATGTTAGGCACTTTAAGGAAATCACATGATTAATTAGTAAAATTATACTGATCAAGCAACAGTCTGAATTTTGGTAAACTGTTATTCAACACTATGACTTTGACAGCCAGTTGTACTTAAGACTTTTTGAAAGGATTAATAGTGACACCAATTAAATGCCTTCTTTTTTTGCTATTGTATACTAGCAAAATATTTGGAAGCTACATCCAATTCTGTGAACAAATATACTTTAATGATCAATGTACAATGCTAGAAAACCACGTATGGCTAAGATCCATTCAAAGAGAGCAAGTGCAGCCAGGCGTGGTAGCACATGCCTGTCATCCCAGCACTTGGGAGGCTGAGGCAGGATGACCATTGTGAGTTCGAGATCAGCCTGCGCTACAAAGTGAGCTCAAGGCCAGCCTGAACTGCATAGCGAGACCCTGTCTCAAAAAGAAAAAAAGAAAGAGAGCAAGTGGATTTTAACATAGCATAATACAAAAATATTCATTAACATGGTTCCAGATTTTACATTGCTACTCAACTTTAAGAAACCACCACTTACTGAGTTATGATGAATTAGCAAAGACTATCCACAAGTATGCGAAAAGGCTGTTGAAGATCCTCTTTCCTAACTAGATGCCTACATAAGACAGGGTTTTCTTTAAATACTTCAGTCTAAAGAGCATATCACATGAGACTGGAAGCAAGGCAGATGTGAGAATCCAGCTGTCTTCCAGTAAGTCAAACATTAAAAGAGATCAGCAGAAAGGCAACCCAATGACACATTTCTTGCTTATTTACATTTGTTTAGGAAAATATAGTTATTCCTCATAAAAACGGTGTCTATGCTGGCATGTAGTGGTGGTTTAGTAATGCTATCTTTAAAGGAAATAATAAATATTTCCAATTTGAGTTTCAATCTGGTATGGTAACTCCCAAAAAATATGGTCCACATAACAGGTCCAATCATTTACAAGAATGTAAAAGAGACATGGAACCAAAAACACTGAAACCTAATACTGTGGGCCTAAATACTTCTATCTTATTCTATGGGAAGTTTCTTTTTTTAAATTGGAAAATACTTACAAAGTACAATATTTTCCCTTTTTCTAGGTTTACTTTTCTATGAACTCTACAGGAAACATTTCACTTGTATTTGAGAATAAGAAGTTTCTTCACAAATAGAAAGAACTCAATGCAGGAGAAAATTGCCTGCCCTGAAGCAAACCCAACTCAGAATCAGAGGCTGAGGCTCAGGGGCCACAGGTCCTGACACAGCCAGACCAGCCACCCGGGCATCAGAGGACCCTGGCTATGCAAAGAGAAGCTGAAACCTCCTAGCATGCAGCCTCCATGCCCTGGTTAGCTGGTCTGAATGCTCCAGGGAGCCCACTGCAATTCTGGTAACAGTTCCCCATGACATTCCAGGTGTCCAAATGGCATAAAAGGTACAGCTAGAAGCTCAGATTTCTCTCACTTCCAAACAGAGAAAAAAGATTTGATGTACTGGCATCCAGAACAGTGGCTACTATGTGCCCAAGAGAAAAGGGAATGGAAGGAACTGAATGAAGACCTTCTTCGGACCCTGTATCACAGGCCTATAGACGTTCAAGTCAAGATTAGAACCTGAAAAAGTCTCTCAAGTAACATGCAACTTGTTTCATGATTTTATTATCAATATCACAAGGCAGATAATGGCATCTGATTTTCACAAACACTGTATCTGCATAAATGCCTGAGTCATTCCCTAATTCATAAAGAAATTGTGAATTAAATGTTAATTGTGAGGATTTCCTCCTAAAATGTAATCCTAGAAATAATGCTATAAAATAGCAATTAATTAAAACTAAACTACATTTTACATACAGAGGAGATTAAATAGACTCTGCAGGCTAGTACAAGAAACTAAGAATTATACTATTACCACAGAAAAATTCAGCATATTTTCTAAATATGAACACACGCCTCCAAAAAGCCACTTGTAGTGAGTGATAAACAATTTTGCAACTATTATTTGAACAGCAAAATCCAGAGATTCTTAAGAAACCCAGAATGGGCTTACCTGTGGTCAAGGTGACTGAAGTCTTGTAAATTCAACTCCCTGGTATCTTGTGTTAGATAAATTGTATCCACATCCTATTTGAAATATAATTCAGTCATAAAGTTAATCTATGCCGATGATCAAGGAAGCAAGACAAATGCAGAAAATTAAAGAGTACCACACGCAGATCTTTATGTAATCTGAGGAAGAAAGATCTTAAGCAAAACATGAATATGGGAGAGGAAGGGAAGGAGAGAGGGAGGGAGGGAGATGGAGAGGGACAAGAAGACAGGGACCGACAGAGACAGACAGACATGAGACTATTCCCCAGGTGTGTCTGTGGGCATGCACACATACACAGATACCCTTACCCACTGCACTTCTTCCCGGTATGAAAATCCAAGCCAGTCGCAGACACAGGCATACATCTGAGAAAATCCACCTAACACAGAAGACAAAAACGCTGCGGTCTTGACAAAGTCTTCAGCAAAATGATTTTTAAATAAAAACATGAAAGCTTAAATATGGCTGCCACGGACAACGCTGATGATCCTTTCTGTTTAGGGAAAGGAGTGAACATTCTTCCCCCATCCCTTATGAGCAAACAGCAGGATGCAATTCAGCTTAAATATAGGACTTTTGCCCACCAATCTCAAGTCTGTGCGGTGCTAATTACACCTTGAAACTAATTGTACCTTTACAGTAGCATACTGGGAATAGAACTAACTTCCAGGCAAGGGTCATCATGGCAAGGTTGTTTACATTCTGGAGTTTAAAAGGCATGCTCACCACAGGGCCCCTGCTCAGCCACGGTCTGGCTGTCCCACAGAGCCTGGAGACTGGCCAGGCGCTCAGACGGCTCCATGGAGACCTTTTTCATGATTCTCCTGTAAGATCAGCAGCAAAAGAGTTCAGAAATCAAGTTTCTGGGATAGTACTAGAAGTTTATTTTGCAATGTACCCTTTTTTAAATGAAGATGAGTCCTATTCCAATTTTGGCAAATATACTTCCATTATTTGAGTACTAAGGAAACAGAAATCCATAGGAATGAAATTCTTTATTTAACTTCCCTTTGTAAACCAAAGGCTTAGAAATGCAAAGATTCTCCATGTTGTTTACTTGGTTTATAAGATTTTATTAGAACAGTCAGAAAGTAATGTGTTCTACTTAATGAATTAGGTTGCTTATACCAAAAATAAATTACTAATTTTCAAAGTACTTAATAATACAAATCTCCTAAGTCATCCCCAGTGCTATGAGCAAAAAGCCACCAAGAAACTAATTATTCCACAGTTTAATGGCTATTCCTTTTACCCTTTCTTTACCTGGGCTCTGATTCTACTGCAGCTGAGGCATGTCCAGCCCCTCCTCAGGCCCCAAGGAAACTCCCACCCACACATAAAAAGGCAGGACAGAGAGATGGTTAAAAATGCAGCAGGACACGCCATGGTGTCATTCTTCATAGAATTGACAGAATAAGGGCTCAGCCCATACGGTTACTGAAAGGGAAGGAGGGAGGGATGGAGCAGAGGGAAGAGGGAAGGAAAGAAGTCAGTCCCCAAAGTTATTAGAACAATCTCAATAAATGTCAGCTGATGCTGTCACAGTTACCACACACTAATCATCTAATGAACCGTCTGTGGAATCACTCACTCACTCAAAACATTTGTTAAAGGTCTACAGAGTGCCAAGACCCACTTCCAGGTACAAGGTACACAGTCAGGGACAAAAGAGACACTATTGTTCGTAAAGCTAGAAACCTATGAAGAGAAACAGTCAAATAAACAGTCCATGATGGAAGAGGATTAGGAATGGGAAGTTCAAGGGTCAGGGTGGGTGAAAACAGTACTAAGCGTTCTCTGAAGGAGGAAGGGCTGAGAGGGAGAGCGCAAAGGCCCTCTGCAGTACGTAGCACAGGTTCAGGAACCCTTGCTCACACTTGGGACTGGACGTGTTCAAGCAGCACTCAAAATGTTACAGATTTCAAAGCATTTCTGATTCAGGATGCTCCACCCGGCCATCTCCGCTAAGGCCTGAAGGAGGATAGGAGGAGATGAACAAGTAAAGCACAAGGAGAGGAGCCCCGGCTGGGCCAGAACGTGTTTCATGTGGACAGAGAACAAGGCCATGGAGAGGGGAAAGCTGGGGTAGACCACAACTCAGGAGGGCTCAAAGCAGTGGGCACAGTGTGTTCTGAGTAGAGGGGCACCAGAAGTCCAGGAAGTGGGGCCAGGACCAGCTGTGGTGAACCTGGCAGGGCAAATGAAGAGCCTAAAGTTCACTTCCAGGGCAACGAAGGGCTGCAAAGGAGGGAGGCACTGCAAACAAACACCTGTGTAGGTGGGAACAAAACTAGGAAACAGAAGTAACTTGATTAGAACAGGACTGCGCAGAGCTGTCTGCAGTGAGGCACATGCATGTGTGGAAGCACTGGGCTGATGAGCTGAGGATTTGCTCCTGAGCCCTTAGTTCCCACAGGTGTCGGGACAGGGCCAGTTGGTGGCTGTGGGCTGTGCAGGTGGGTAAGCTAGAACCACACTGTAGCCTGGCTGGGGAAGAGGAGATAGCCCAAGCGTCTGTAGCCTGGGGCCATGAAAAGCTGAACTCCAGGGCTTCCCAGGAATGGACAGTGGAAAGACAAAAGCTGTGGTCAGAGAGGGAGGACCAAGCCACCATTGCCCCACAGATTCTGATTTCAGAGCGTGCTGTTCCAAGAGGTGGCAAGGTCTGGGACATGGCTGCAAACCCTAGGGATACATGAGATGGAAGGTGGAGGTCAGGAGCTGGGTGCTGGGTGCTGGGTCAGTCATCCAGGACAGCGAGACTACTAGAGTGTGAGGGGGTGAGATAAACCCACTGCAGGGAGAAGATCCCCTATCTGAAATGCTGGACAACAAAGGTGTTTCTGATTTCAGAGGTTCAGATTTGAAAATATTTGTATGTGCATAATGATATATATTAGGCATAGGGCCCAAGTTTAAACACAAAATACGCTATGCTTTACATGTACCTTACAAATACAGCCTGAAGGTAATTTTATGATATATTTAATAACATCATGCATCAAACAAAGTTTCATGCATGGAATTTTCCACATGTGGCATTATATTGGCACTCAGAAAGTTTCTGATTTGGAAGCTTTTTTCTGATTAGGGATGCTCAACTCATAAGTCATTCTGGATATATATATTCATTTTTCTTTAAGGATTTAAAAGGACAGCTCTCAATAATAATGCTCTTGGGCATCCTTAACAAACTTTAATCACCTTACAGAGACTGGAAGAAAATGATCCCAGTTATTCCCACTTTCTGAATGGATAGATTCCAGATAAAATCTGCTAGCACCTGAGAAGTTACTAGGTAGACTCATTCTACTCCTGCAGAAAACCTCGAACACATGCCAAAACATCTGAATGCAAATGTTCTGTTGGCATCAAAAATTCTTCTACTCTATTTTTATGATGAAGGCACAAGCCAGTGAGCTCACCTAATGTCAAATGTGCCCCTGTAAGTCCTGTGCAGACTCACAAGAACTCTATGGGCAACACAGTTTTTCTCTATTTTCCCTAAAAACACTTGCAGCAAAGAATTATTATTCTAAAAATCTTCAATTTGGGAGCTAAGGAATTAAACATTCACAATTAAAGTGACATTACAGAACCTGGTGATTTGGGGTGCTTTGTTTTGGTTCACTACCATCATTCTGGTGTTTAGTGGATTTATTGTCTGGCTATATCAAGACAATGATGCCAGATATGCAAAGAAATAGCAGAGTCATCAGAAGGAAGCACAGGCATTCGCACAGCTGCATTTACTGAACTTTGGACACTCCAAGCAGGACTTTAGTCTGACTTTATTTGGGATCACATTTCTTTGTCAAATTCCTGCTTTACTTCAGCCAATCTTCAGACCCTGCTATGTGAATGACAAATAGGATGGGGATTAGCTACACAAAAGCAGAGAGAAACTGAGGCAAAAATCTTGGATGGGTGGAATTAACAGGAGGTTGGCTGTGCTGGACTGGAAATGACCTGAGTGTGTTCCCCAGAGGTTCATGTGCTACAAGCTTGGTTTTCCGCACAGCAGTGTTGAGGGAGTATAAAGTTTTAAGAGGGGGCCTAGAGCCAGGCATGGTGGTGTATACCTGTAATCTAAGGACTTGGGAGGCTGATGTAGAGAGATCACAAGTTCAAGGCTAGCCTGCAAAATTTAGTAAGCTCTAAGTCCGCCTGGACTACAAAATGAGACCCTATCTCAAATAAGAGGTGGGACGGAGTCCTGATTGTGGGTGATCAGGTATGGAACATCCTCTGGAAAGGAATTAATGCCCATTTCACAGAGTGAATTAGTTCCTTTGATTTACTGTTATAAATCAAGGCCATCCCATATCTTTGGCCCTTGCCCTTGCATGGGGCCATTACCCTTTGCTTCTCAATCATGTTGTGATGAGGCAAGGTGAGCTCTTGCCAGAGGCCATAAAGATGAAAGCTTCCAATATGAACTTTCAGGCTCCAGCAACATGAGATAAAACTCTTTTCTTTGTAAAGTATCCAATATAAGGTATTTTGTTATAGCAACAGAAAACATATATGAAAATGACAGTTAAGCACGCTGGGGGGAAACATAAATATATAGTTTTACAAACCAGAGATGCAATTTTATTTCAAAAGCAACAATGGACATTCACACTCAAGAGTGCAGGGAGATCAGCTGGAGAACAAGGACCTAGGCAGCTTGAGTAGGCATGTGGGCAATCCCTGTGCAGAGGTGTCAGTCTGAGTTGCCCCCTGTAGCTCCACTTTGGAATAGTTCTCATCCATCTTTTTTTTTCTAGTGAGATATCAGGAGCAAAAGGAGTCTCATGAAGCAGGTGTACTTATTTCCATAAGAGACAATGAAACTCCTGGAAGGTGGGAACTGTTTCTTCTATATTCTAACACTTCTCACACCCCTCCTCACGTTGTTTTCTGCCTGCAGCTAAATGACATCAAAGAGCAGATCAGTGGAATCGTGACTCACATACACACATAGGCAGAAAGTGGCAGGCAGAGAGATAGATAGACAGAGCATTTGCTGTAGAAGGAAAATACAAATCCTAGAAAACAGACGAGACCCGTCACTCACTTGCAGGGCAGAGTTAGAGCTGAATCCACGACATCTGCATTATATGCATTTAATTCACACAAGATTTAAAAAGTAGTTACATGTGGCAAAACATAGTGAACTAGGTGACAAGTACACCAACTCTTTATGCAAATCTCATGATAAACTGTTGACATGAAAAAATGTCTAAATTATTTTAATCCACATAAAATAGCAGCCTAAGCAAGATGGCAATCATTCCCGCCATGGGACTTGTTTTAGTGGTGCCAACCCCACTGGAACTAAGGCCGTCCTCTGCCACAGTCAGAGAGCAAGCAAAGCACTTTTTGTTCATTTATGCACAAACTCCTGTTTGCCATTTTTTTTTTCTTGCAGTAACCTTATTTTCATACATTGGTCAATGTTTGATGTCATAAAGCATCTGGAAAACCATTTTTATTACCACAGGGAAGAAACATTGTTGCAACACACTAATGTTAATTCCAGCCAATTTTCAAAGGTATGGCACACACACACACACACACACACACACACACACAAAAAAAAAAAGATGCCAAAAACATAGGGAAGATATCATGGTTACTGTTGTACCAAGAAAAGAGAATATTAACCATATTGAACCAAAACTAAAATAAAATCACAGAAATGCAATCAACTTATATGTAACTTAAAAAAAAAAAAGCATAAGCATCAGAGAAATTCCATGCACACATCAACGATCCCTTTTCCCACAGGGCAGGCATTCATCCCAGCGCCCTGGCTATATGCACAAGCTCACAGAGCTAGGATTTCCAGAGCACTGTACAGGCAGCTTCCACAGGGTAAAGTCATCCTCACGACACTGCATTCACATCACCCATCCCATTTCACAGATGCAGGCCCTGAGCCTGTGATCACACTCCCAAGCTTAGGATCCAGCCTCCTCCAGTCCCACCCAGCCCAGCAGGCTCACAGCACACCTGCCAAAGTGTCTGCAGGCCACCCTGAGGCTTGGGTTCAAAGCTGTCCAGAGCTGGGCTCATCTCTCCCTCGTAGTAGTGCCCACAGGCTGCACTGGCTGCTGTCCCCTGATGTGTCCGCCTCAGGGCCAGGGCCCCAGAACTTACCAGGCCCATCTCCTGCAGCGAGAAGCCTCCTCTCAAAAAAACAAACCAAAACCAAATGTTCTGTCCTTGATTTCCCAGCTAAATATGACTTTCTCTTCTCTGAAATCAGAGAGCTTCACACTCTCTGTTATGTTATTTGTGGAGATTTTTACATTAACTTTTAACTATAAAATCTTAGAGGGCAAAAAAGACTTTACTCCTCTGTGTATGCCTGAGGAGTTTCTTGAATTAAGATTTTCAACATTAGTTCTAACTTGTACTAATGACTTCATTTAATGTGTGAAAACAAAAGTCCAGCGTTAGGTTTGAAAAACAGCCAAGCTTTTTGATATTAGAATAGCTGAAGGCTGTAACACAAAATAGCTTTAGGAAGAGAACTGTCATTATAAACAATTTTGTGAAAACAGATTAAACAGCACTTAAGCTATTAATATTTCCCTTGTATCCCTCCAGTCTTAAAGGTATGGACTCCAGTGAAAGGTACTAATGATAAGGATAAGAATATTAACCTAAAAAAAATGTTAATAATGGCTTGATGTGGGATGATCTTTAAAAATTAATTTCTAATTTTTGTTTTTTAAATACTATTGGCATTCATTCTGAAATCAGCTTTTTCATTCTGAAATTAGATAAGAGAAAAATGCCATTTTTGTAGGAAAAAAGAGGGAAAGATAAATAATACATATCTGCAGAAGGGAGGTGAGAAGAAAATATCATGTGAGTATTAATTTTAATGAAAATTCTTCATCTTTTCTTATCAGCACTCTCTTGATTGTAAGAGGACTGATTATATGTTGTAGAAATTTACATATCTGTATATATTTCATTTTCATCCTGGAAGTTATTTTCAGAATTTTATGTGGGTAAATTCAGTGCATTCAACATATAGTCTCATTTATATACAGCCAAACTTAGATTACTGGAGAACTAATGTTCTAAACTGACGGTTGCTCTGGCTCCGCCTCCTCCTGATTCTCCCATATCCTGACACCTACTTGTCAGACACATGCCTATTTCTTGGGCCCCACCAGAAACACCCTAAGCCAGCACAGGGTGAAAACTGGAGTCTGAAAGGACCACGTGATGGGTGTGGTAATGTATTCATGGGGTAAATGCCTCCAATACTTGAGAATTCCAAATCTAGATTCATATTCTTCAATTTATTACAAGTGGGATATGTGACATTACCAAGGACATATTTTATCTGTTCTATGTTACGTACATAAAAGAAGTATTTCCCTTACTCTCAGTGTTGATTTAAGGCACACGGGGAGTGTAAAAGAAAGGATACAGTTAATGGCATTTCCAGCCTCTCTAGTCACAATAACTAACACCAATGTCACTGCATGTGTGCATTTTCCCTGCAAACATCATGTAATACAAACTAAAGAACTTCACGGATAAGGACAAACCATAGCAGTCATAAGCTATTACAAGCTTATTGTGACAAGCTAAATGTGAGGCCTTTCAAACCAGAGCAGTGGGAATAAAACCGAAAATGAAACTGCTGATTTCCCCCTAAAATTCCTACAATATTAAGTAAAGCCATATTTTAAAGAAAATAGAGATTCTAAATATTGCTCTGAAGCGTCTTTAATGCCCAGGGTGTCACAAGCAGTCATGCAGTAAGCCTGTGTTTAATAACTTTCATACTCCTCCAGTGTTAACCCAGAAAGAAAGAGAGGCCATCCTGTGGCTGTAACGGTGCAGGTAACTGTAGCTGCTATGAGTTTGAGTTCGTGACCACCCCCACTGGTTCTCTCCTAATCAATCCTAAGGGAAGTTTACCTCTCAGTATTTCACCAGTGCCACTAAGCAGTGCCACTACTGATTCAGGACATGCCTGTGGCCTGAGAGAGAAGACCTAAAGCTTTGGCCAGGAGTCAGAGAGTAATTTACTACCAGCTTGTCCTTCCCCACTCTGACAGGAATCACTCAGCCTCCACTCAGCAACCTGTTATTGTGAGGATGGGACTGAGCTTTAGAAGAGAGGAGCGGAGAGAGGGAGAAGGACCAGCCCCATAGGGTCCGAAAAAAGGAACAGCACAAAGAGAATCAAGCCCACCCTGAAGGACAGAGACGAAGCTGCCTTCCATCACTCAAAGGGTCTGAAAGTCATGAAGCCTATGTTTTTCTGCTCTGCTCTTTAATTTCCCATTGAAGGCCCATGTTAAAAAAAGGACAGGGGATTCGGAACTCTCCTTCCACCACCCCAAGGCAGGTACCCAGCTGGCCTTCCTGCACGCATCCTTAGGCCTCCCCTTGCCAGTGCATACCTCGACATTCCCCAAGTACGTGGTGGGAGAGGACTTCCCAGTCACCAAGACAGCCACAGGAAAGTGTCCCAACTCCGGACTACTGTTTAGGATTTTCTACCATTAGTACCTCTCTGCCTTTCCACTTCAGCCAATCTAACCCCTTAACCCCGCCATTCCAATCCCAGCTACAGTGTTATCCCAGCATAAAATCCTTGGTTAAAATGCTTAACAAAAATATGAGGACACATATGGATAAAAGTTACTAATATCCCTAATGTGCTTATTGAAAAACTAAAGGAATATCTGATATTAAAGCAGCAGCAACTAATTTTTGGCTTATTTTTTTTTAAGTTTCCTCTTACTGAGAAATAAAGAAGGGAAAGGAAGAGATGGTTAATATTATACTTGATGCTTTAATACAAAGCATGCAGATGCCGGAATTCTGCTAATAGCCATGAGTAAATTTCTACCACAGTAATTATATTTAAAAGGTTCCTGTTTTAGTCTCACAAGTAGACCTTAAAGGACTTTCAAGTCTCATTATCACTTAGGTTTTTAAATAAGGCACAGCCCTATACCAAACCGCACCATGTTTTGTAGACACAAGGTTTGAGCTAGGGTTTGGTATTTACTGACTAAGAAAAGAAGCTCGCTGAGAGGGGAAGTCGGTAAGCGGGCAGGAGGAAGCTATCCCTGCATTTGCCATTCTGAGGAAGAACAAGGTCTTGGCCCTCTGCACCCCGCCCTGGGACTCACACAGGCGAGAGGCCGGGGAAGATCTTCCGCAGGCAGGTACCAATGTGACCGAGGATGTCGCTCACATCCTCTGGCGACGCCATCTTCATGGAAATGTTGCACTTCTCTGTCTCCACAACCATCTGCAAGGACAGGATCAGATACTTCTGAGTAATGGGTCCAAGTTCATCCATTCTTAATTTTAAATATTGTGATCTATGTCACAAAGAAATGCACCAGTGTAACAGCAGCTTAGGAAGAACACTTCCTTAAAAGTCCTCATTGAAGTGTCTTCTAGTTCAAAGCCAAGGAACTGAGAGGGCAGAGGACGGAGGGGGTCAGAAGCATCTGGGAACTGAAGCTCAGGTTTCTAAGGGCCCAACTGATAGATTCAAGAGACTCCCTTTGTAACCTAACTGCTTCTCATCCACATTCAGACTTGACTTCCCCTAGGACTCAGTCTGCGGTTTGTCAATCCCTGCTCTCCAGTACACGACTAAGCCCTTATGCAAGTACTCAAGTAGCTACTTAAGAAAAAGAAATGTTTTAGAGAAATCTCATGAGAGGTTTAAATGAAATGTTAAAACCTTTCGCCTGAGAGCAAACAAAAAAAATCAAGGACTTATAAAAAAATTTCAACCTTTCTGAGTAGAGGAAATATTTGGAAAGGATTATATTAAAGCAGCAGGGTTCTTTAAAGAGCCTTTGTGTTAGGCTCAGTGCTACACTGGATGTACAAAACTTACACACATAGAAAGAAAGGTTTACACTGAGGCCGCAAGGCTGGTCCTGTAAGTACAAATCAACCTGAAAAAAGAGGGTAGGTCACAAAAAGGACACCAGGTTGCAGACAGATTTCACATAAAAAAGAATTAACCTCTCTTTTGTTTAAACTGTGCTATTATCTTGTTTCTACATGTAATCCTTTTGCATTTTTGTGGCATCAAAATATCCTCCCCCATTTATTGTCTCTGTTATTTAATCAGTATAAAAATAGGATGGGGGGGGATGCACATCTATGTGCAAAACTGAATCAACAAAGCGATTTTTACAGTTTGCTTTAGATTTCCCTACAGTCAAATGGAAAACAATCATAATCTAAGTCTTTTGACATTTTAATGTTAAAAGAAAACTAATGCAAGACATTTGTCAAAACACTCAGATCAAAGAAACAGGCATCAGTGACGCAAGTCCTTAAACTGTTGTTGTCTAATACAAAACCCTGAAGGAATTTGCCAACAAGTGTTCCATAAGTATCACCTTTATGCTTGTTAGCCGTGTGGAAAAAAGACATGTTTTTATCCTAATTTTCAAAGTATTCTTCAAGTGAATAGAAAAGCCTTTAGAATTCTCTCAAGTAAAGTCTAAGTCTGCCTTCTAGTCTAGAAAGTGATCCAAGAAATATCTACCTGCACCCCAAGAAAAGCAGCAAGCATGACGGTGCATGGTAGTGTTGCGGTAGGAGGTGCTTACTGACCCACCCACTGCTTCCACAAAAGGCCTCGAGTCAGTCTCTGTCCTGTCATCCGCACATATCTCTGTGCATCTGCATGTCTGCTAAAGCCAGATCATTGGGGAGGCAGCGCTGGGTCTGTGCTTAACATCCACCCCCAACCTTCCCACCCAGGGTAATTATACTTTCCACTGCAGGGTACTTTTACATTCTGCCCATCTAGTGCATCTATTCAGTTCACAGTTTGGGTGTGAGTAATTAGTAATTAGTTTATTCTGATTCCATTTAAGCTTAACACCTAATCATCCTTAATTGCACAGGACTGAATAGAATGACAGGGGGAAAAAAAAGGTGACAGGTGGGCAAAGAAATGAGAATTTCAAGTTCAACCTGATGTGAAAGTGCTCAAAAAGCCCTGCCTAAGACGTCACCACTCCGCAGAATGTAAAGGGTGCAACAAAGCCAAGGAGATGAGACCAACATGGAGCAGTCTCGCCCAGATCAAAGACTCCTGTCAAGAGCCATCCTTCCTCCTCTTACAGCAGGGAGAACCAGAACACTGGACACACTCCTGCCTCCAAGACTAAGCAGGACATAACCCAAGACTTGCTACACATTTAAAATGCCAATCAGTTATCAGCCATAGTGTCTTTTTGTATGATTCTAATTTATCATCCCATGTCATCTTCTTTTTTAAGATAGAACAATGTGATCAAACTTTATGAGCAGCATTTTTTTACTAAATCTCAGCAAGCAAATCTGTGAGGTGGTCTTTCCTTCAACAGAATGAGCCAGGGGTGGCTTGCCAATATCACTCTACAGAAGAACAATTACCCTTAGGATGGAAGGCAAAAGTCATGCAGCTTCCCAGCTGCACCAGAAACAACCCAGCAGCTCTGTAACTAACTAACTGCTGCGGGCCTCTGCTAACTGTGACAGCAACAGAAGGGACTCAGAAAACGCTGTCACAGTGACGCCTGTAACACAAGGCACAATCTCCCAGGTTCCAGCAAGAAGAAGGAAAAGAACAGGAATGCAAGCCGCATTTCATTAACTCAGTAACACACCCTTCCCTCCACTCAACACAGTACACGGTGGGGCATCCAGGCACTCCATCTCCATTTACAGACTACAGCAATCATTAAAATGGCAATGACACAAACACTAAATACTAGAGAATGGTGGGAAAGAATTCCTAACCAGGTCAGATCATAAGTGCAGGACACAGACACTGCTATCCTTATGGCTGTATGTAAGATAAATTCAAAGGAAGAGATTAAAGAGACCTGAGGTTATGGAGGTTAGAACCCATAAGTGCACTTGACAAAATACAAATGTTTACCCTGGACATATTGAGTCCCAACCGGTGTGTTTGTGTGTGTGTGTGTGTGTGTGTGTGTGAGAGAGAGAGAGAGAGAGAGAGAGAGAGAATGACAGAGAGAGAGAGAGAATGAGAGAGAGAGAGACAGAGAGAGAGATCTTCTCAGGCAATGGTAAAACCCACCAAACTGGGGCTGAGGCAGGCTCCCATACTCAGCTCCTCTGAACAGAGGGCACACAGAAGGGACAGGACTACAACATGTGATCACAGCGATCCCAGCAGCTACATGGGAGAGTCAGTCTTGCTCTACTATATCCTTTCTCATCATTAACTACCACAGTCAAGCCACATCCTGTATACAGCCTTGACATTAAGACTTCATTATTGCACTCTGCTCCCACTCCAAGTCCAAATCATGGATAGAAACACCCACAAATTTAGGCCAGCTAGAAAGTCCTGGTTAAGGTGTGATATAGCCCTTCACAAGCAATCATTCACTCTGGCATCAACTGGTTTGACCATTTGGGCAAACATGTTGCTGTGACTTTTTTCCCCAAACTCCAGTTTCTGGCCAATGATAAACACATAGGATAAAGCACAGCTCTAAAATGAACTGTAGTAAAGTTCCAAGGATTTGTATGTAATCTCTACTAAAATAAATAAATAAACTAACAGTGTTGACAGTTTCATTTAGAAACATTGCCAACAAACCACACACACACTTTAGTCTTCAAAACTAAAATAAAACAAAATAATAAAGGTCAGAGCAAGAATCTGATTTTAAGTCTTTCCTTAAAGCCACAGTCATTGACAAGGAAAACCAGCAGCACAGAGATGGGCAGTTAGACCAAAGGGGCAGGACTCAGACACTCATTCCTGCCTAGGCAGAAATGGACCCATACTCACACAGACACGCAGTTCTTCACAAAGGAGAAAACCAGTGCAGTGACACACAACAGTAAACAAGTGGCACAGAGACAATTGGACATACCATACACATGCAAAAAACATTTAGCCAGATGTGGTAGCTCACAGCTATAATCTGAGAACCCGGAGAGGCTGAGGTAGAACAAGCCCATCCTGGATTATTTAGCAATTTAATGAGATGCTATCCCAAAATAAAAAATTTTTAAAAGGTTAGGGATGTAGCTTAGTGTGAATGTTTAACTCCTAGTATTGTAAAAAAATAAAAAACAAAATAAAACTTAAATCCAAACATTGCTTTCTATACAAAACTGAGTTCAAAATGGATCATGTATGAAAATATACAACACACAGCTCAAAAAAAAATGATTTCTACCCAGAATCTAGTTTTTAAAACCTCTCAAAATTCAGTAAGACTACAAATAACCAATTTTTAAAATGGAGAAAGATTTAAATGGTATTACACAAAAGAAGATAGTGGGGAGTACACAGATAAAAAAATGCAATATACTTAATCATGAGGGAAATGCAAAATAAGCCACAGTGAAAAAGCACCACACATACCTATCATATACCTATTAGAGTGACTACTGTTCTTGCTTTTGTTTTCCTTTTTCTTTTTGGTGCAGGGTTTCACACATGTAAAGCAAGTGCTCTATCATTAAGCTATACACTCAGCCCTAGCAATGACTAAGTTGCTAAAATTAAAAAGACTGACCATATCACTGTTAGGAATGAGGTAGTGGAACTAGAACCCTTGAGGGTTGTTGGTGGCAATATAAAAGGGTTTGACCTACTTTGGGAAACAGGCTGATAGTTCCTCCAAAGGTTAAATAAGTGTCTATTGATTGGACTAGCATTGCTGGTGGGGGGGTGGGGGGGAGATATAGCTTAATGGCATAAGCTCCTGCCTGGCAAGTGCAAGGTCCTGAGTTCAATTCCCAGTATACGCCCCCCCCCCCCCAAAAAAAAGGATTAGCATTGTTCTTGGTGCGGGGCTGAATGGATTTACTAAAGACAGATGGCCCATGTGGGTGGGGGTGGCACCAACCAATAGGATTATAGCCTGGAAGAAATTAAAAAGGGAAAGAAAGGCTCATTGCTGCTGCTGCTTTTTTCGCTTGCCCGGCCATGGACTGTTTCTCCTCAGCCATGCCACCTTGCTTTGCAACCAGCTGACTATAAACTGAATTCTCTATAAACCATGAGCCAAAATAAGCCTTTTCTCCTTTAACTTGTGGGTGTTGGGTACTTTGTCCAGGCAGTGAGGAAATAACTGAGACACCACTGTTTCACTCCTTGGCATTTACCCATGGGAAATGAAATCAAATTTCTAATTAAAGACTTGTACATAAATATTCATAGCAGTTTTATTTGCCATAGTGAAAACTAGAACCAACCATTCACTAGGTGAATGGATAAACAAGCTGTAACAGAGTGATACAATGGAACCCACTCAGGAATATGAAGGAAGGAACTACTGCAAGATGCAACAAATCAGTCCCAAAATAACTACACTGAATGAAAGAAGACAGGAAAGAGTGTATGCAGCATGATTCCATCCATATAACATTTTAGAAAGTGCAAATTATACCAACAGAGAACAGAAGCCCGGATGGGGGCAGTTTACTAAGGTGCATAAAGTAATTTTAGTGTAACTGACTATACTCAGTAGACATAAGCCCAAAGTTACCAAATTTTACACTTTACTATAGTCAGTTATAGCTCAAAAAAGCTGATTTTTTTAAAAAAAATCTACATTTTTAGCACCAAAATATGATAATTATCACTCTAAGAAAGAACTTCTAGAGTACTGTATGATAGCTTTAAATTTTAGTGTTAAAATTTGTTGTATAGGCCTGGAGTGTAGCTCAGTTGTAGACCACCAGCCATGCATAAAGCCATGAAAGGTTAATTCAGCACTACAAAAACAAAAATGCACAATTGTTGTACGACACCTCTTTGGCTCATGTTGCCTCTAAGGCATAGTATTTTTGTATCCCAATGGCCAACTAACATAAGAGCTAATTTGTTCTTCTCAGTTATGTGTTTTCCTTATGTCTCTCATTCTTAAAATTCTTCTCTCCCCTCATCTTGTTACTCTACTTTGTCTTAAGACAAAACTGGGTATGTGGCACATGCCTATAATTCCAGCACTCTGGGTGGCTAAGGCAAGAGGATTGGAAGTTTGAGTCCAGTCTGGGTAACTTAATAAAACACTGTCTCAAAAGAAAACGGAAGACAGAGGATGCAGCGCAGTGAGAAAGCTGTGGGTTCGATCTCCAGTACGGGTAGAGAGGTGGGGGTCCGAAACAGAATCCATTGCATGGTTTCAGGAACTCAGGATGGAGTGCACTGGTACCGGCAGGCAACAGTCATCACACTCACCTGTGCTGGCCTGGTGCACACCACACCATGAATCTCCAAGTAGCTGAAGGTCAACTCGAGCTGTAGGGGAAACAGAAGCCTGTAAAGAGGATTTAAAAACACACAATTCAAGGCAAAAACAAAATGCTATGATTAGACAACAGCCATATACTTTATTACTGATAATACCTAGTACTCTGGAAATGCAATGGAAAATAGTTGATGAACTGAACTGTTTAGGAGATGATGGTAAGAAAATGGATAGACAAGATTTTTTCAAGTATTTTCAGTCCACATCCACTGCATCTGCACACAGATGAGGAAATATAGAGGTCTGGCTGCGGGGCTGAGGCTTGGGCTGTAGAATAGCTGGAGTTGCCTTGAGATGTGCTCTGCTGTCTGTGTGGTAGACACTGTCTTGCTGAGGGTCAGGGTCTGGTATGCAAGAGCCTGGTGGGAAGCTTTTGGTAGATTTGGCTAATTCTTTCCCATTAATCAATCAATCAATAATATCTGCTGATCTGACTTAAAAACATTGTCAAATCTTCATGCAGCCTGTATCTGTCTCAGCTTCCTAACTAGTCTCTTTGCCTCCTCTTGCCTATGTACCTGATCTAGTGGGGTTCTTTGAAGTGTCTTCTGGGGAGGATCAGTGATGGGGACTAGGAGCAAAGGCCTGGTAACAACTAGCCATGGGTGACACCAGAAAGCATGATTTGAGCCTGATGGGGATGCCTTTTAAGCTGCCTTAGAGACTCCCTCCTACAGAACTCATATTAACCTGGGAGCAGACTAATCACAAACTTGGCCACTCACTGCTTATTGATCACCAGTACTACGTATTATGGTTTGTGTCTGCATGTCCCCTCAAATCCTCATGCAGTCATAGGGTGGGCTTCTAGATGTTTTTGATCCATGGTCTAATGCTGGGATTATGGGTGTGAGTGCTACATCCACCCTGGGGCGGGTAGTTTGCGTATGTAAGGAAAGGAAAGAGGCTTGCCCTTCCCGCAGCTCCATTTTGCTGTTGTTGCTTTTGCTGTTTTCTGCTGCCATGAACAGTTGCCCTGGGCCATGTGTCACTCTGCCATGGAGCCAGCCGAGTAAGGACAGAAACTTCCACAAACTGTGAGTTAAATAAACCTTTCCTTCCTTAATATTGGGCATTGGGTATTTTGTCTCAGCAATGAGAGAAAAGTAACCAAGACACCTGAGTTCTATTCCTTTCAGTGTCTACCTTATCTGAGTTTTCTTAATCCCTCTACGTCTTTGCAAATTCTTTTTCTTCTGCCCAAATTTCTCTACCACCCCCTTCTGCTGAACAAACCTGAAGTCATTCTCCAGGGCCTTGTGGAAATGTCACCAGTCTTTCCTGGCTCCCCAGCCCTTTGCCATCTCAGTGAAATCTGTCAGATGCAGTAGAAGCATCTTAATTGACCTCCAGATAACCTTCCTGAGCCTGATACATCAAGGTGCCAGCTCCCACCCCTGGCACTGCCCATTGATACCAGCTATGTGGTCACAGTGAGCTGAAACACCTGTGTGCACCTGTGCCCACCTGTTGGATCAATGCTTATGAGGCTTGTGGTTCATTCCCAAACCTGTTGATAGCAGTTAGAATTACAACATCAGATGTTTCTAGTCAAAGACACTTTACATAGCAATCTGAGTACAAAAAAAGTGTGTATGAAATATTAAATGGTGATAGAAGCAAATTACTTGGAAAAATTCCTATAAAATCTTTAAGGATCAGACATTTGTCTGGGGTGGGGATAAAAAATAATAATCTGAAGGCTTCTTTCCTCAGGTTGTTTTGCAAGTACCTCACAGTTCTGCCAGCATTCCCAGAGGCTTGAGTTGGGGAGTGGAGGTCCTGTATTGGAGTATAGCTCATAAAGAACGGTCCCCTGAGGCCAGCCTGTGGGCTCATCACGTTCATGTTGGGGCTGTAATTCATATGTCTCCTTGGTGGGCAGCTCTGAGTCACCAGTGCTGCACGCATGGCTGTCCTGTGTGGGCCTCAGCTGTGCTCCCTGGCAGCATGGTGCACCAGGAACATGGGCAGGATACATCCCACAGCAGAAAATCCCTGAATTCCTATTTCTAGAGAATGGAAATAGAAAGAGAACTCCTCTTCCATGGCTCCCTTTGTCAGTTCACAGACCCTCCTCAAGAGCCCACTGTGTGCATGTTAGAACACAGGCGGCATGGGCATGCGTCTCACCTCCAGCCATTATGTATAGCCTTGAAGTCATATACTTTAAAGCACTTTGAACTTATAAACACGTTTTCATTAAGCACTCTTTAACGCAGTGTCAAAGTTTCTGAGTTAACACATTCCAGCTGGCTTGAACCACTGGTGATACATGCATGACCATCCCACCAGGAGATCCTCCCATGCATCTTGTCTGCAAATCCTTCCCTGATCTGATACTTATCCAGCCCCTGGAAGCAAAACTGGGGCTTGGGGAGAAGGTGTTGATAGCAAGACTCTATCTCTCCAACCAGGTGTGACTGCAGAGGTCTCTGCTTGTGATTAATCACCAAGATGTGCAGCTCTGTCTTGTGACTCTGACTACATGTGGCCCATCTCACATACATGTTATGATAGGAAAGAGAACATGCTTAATTTTATATGCTTTTTATTTCATATTTAATTAAACTCCCCCCACAAAAAAAAGAGAGGATACCTAAGTCATCTCAGTGCCTAATTTATATTCATGTTCTGAATATAATGCTTTCCTCAGAAACTTTATGCCACTGGCACTGTCCTTACTTCTCAGCCACGACTCAGGTGGACACATGGAATCCAGCTTCTCTAAGGCAGAAAGCTGCCAGCAGACCACAGTGGAAGAAAACCTCCTTTCTGATTTAGGGTGCTGACAATACCAGAGACGATGTTCAAACTGTCCTGGTCAGGGTAGTGTGAAATGTTAGAACTACCCCCGTGGAGCCAGGCCTATGTTTGGGGCTGGAGCAAGGCGGCGACAGAACAGGGCCACCTGGCAAGACAGCAACAACCTTCCAGGAAGGCAGCGCACTTTCTCTCATCAGAATATTTTAAGCTAAGCATAGAGGCCTCGGCTATTTCCTCCACCCCACTGAATTTCCTTCTGCAATCAATGTTTCACCAGTGGAATAATGCTTAATTTATTCCTTCCATCCTGCCTTTGGGTAGTTTAATTATAGGTGGTTCAGGCCAACTTCACTGCAGGATGATTGATTTCACTTGTACAACATTATAAACATTCATTTTATATCATCAAAAAAGCCTAACCCCAAATGTCTTTTTCTTTGGAGAAATTTCATTAGAGTTAAAAATGTGTGTGTTCTGAAAGAAAAAGGCAGTAGGTACCTTAATTTTACAACTAACAAATCATCAGATTCCAAGTCCTGAAAGATCCCTATTTAGCACATAAGTATGTATTCACAAAACAGGGGCTATAGCACTATACCGATAATCCTAGCTCTCCAGGATGCTGAGGCAGTAGGATCACAGGCTTGAGCTCAGAGTAGGCACTTAGTGAGACCCTGTCTCAAAATAAAAACTAAATAAAGGCCTGGAGATGTACCTCAGTGCAAAGGTCTTGGGTTCAATCCCCAGCAGGGAGGGCGAGGGGGAAAATACAGTATTGACTAAAAGTTAAATTTTAAGAAGCAAGAAAGGACTAAGAAAATGAGCAAATAACACTGCAGTCCAAGCATCTGAGTTCAGTAACTGCAGAAGCAGCTACCACTCTGTACCCATTCCCTAGCATGTGGTAGGCCAGGCAGTCCACCTCAGGGAAAACATGAAAGGTATGATGTGGGGAACCAACTTCTTCCCTCCTACTCAGGACTTGTGACTCCTTCTGCATAGCAACTGTCCATCAAGGCTACTGTGAGAATCACAGGACAACGTCCTCCACATACACCCGGCCAACAACTCACTGAGTTCTAGTAAGAACAGTGTGGCTAGGCTTCCTTGCCCAGGGTCATATATCTGTCACTTTCTAGTGAAGTGTGACCTTGGGCAAGTTACTGGACCTTCCTGTACCTCAGTTTCCTCACCTGTAAAACAGGGAAAAATAACAGGACCCAGCTCATGGTTCTCATAAGATTTTAAGGATTATTTACTAAAAGAGCTCTCAATAAATGTTACTCACCAACAGCTTTTTAGATGCTGCCATTCAGTCCGTATCTTATAAAAATGATCGGCCCTTTTGGTTACCACAACAAAATAAGACATTACTACGCCTAATTCATGCCTCCTCCACTCAGATTTTAACAGGCGCTGTGGAGTGAGGGGCATCCCATGGAAATTGTTGAACAGACCTCGAGAGAGACTAAGCAATGCCACGTTCCTTTTCACAGGTGACACAGGGCACACGGTGAGGGCTGCGGGGTGTGAGTGTGTGTGAGTGTGTGCATGTGTGAGTGTGTGTGTGTGAGTAGGGGGAATGTGTGTAAGTGCATGTGAGTATGTGAGAGACTGAGTGTGTGGAAGTGAGGGAGAGACAGTGTGTGCCTGTGTAAGGAGGATGGTCGGCCACTTACCTTGGTGGGGATGCGCGCTGTCACCAGGAAGGCCCGGCATGACGTGAGCACCTGCAAGAAAAAGCAGCAGCATCACCATAGGTACCAACAGTGGGCCTGGTGGCTGTGGGGTGAGACACAGGACTTAGTGAAACTAAAGCCTCAAAAACTTCAATGTCACTGCTGTGGCTCGTAGCACCATCACTGTCATGACACAGCTGGCCTCCCGTCGTGTAAGAAGCGACCTGGGATGGCTTGCCGTCCTCACAGAATTAGTCTGCACTGAGCACAGCAACCCTGCAATCTCAACGGAAGTCAGTGGGCCCCAAGGACCACCAAATTGTTTCAGCTGAGTGAGCGAGACAGGTCTCTGTGGGATTCAAATATGTGTCATACATACTCGTCCAGACACGAACCACACTACATCAACAGCAAACTTAATGAAAAAGCCAGTCCCTCATTCACACTCCTCCAGTGACAACTACCACCCACATCCGCCCTCCTATATTCCACTCTCAGAACTTCAGCTGGTAACATTTCTGTAACGCACAGGCAGCAAAAGCAGGCCATGTTTCTAAGACATCTTCCCCTACTATCTTCAGCTGCAGCTCCCTGAGCCAAAAATAATATTCACGGAAATTCCCTTTCTGACACTCAGCTAGTAATGCGCACATGGCCTTGGAGACCCACGTGCCTACAGCGCTGTTTGGTTCAACCGAGCTACCTGCATATACAAAGGGACTGAATTACACGTTTGGAGCTGAGCGGGGGTGCCTGGGCGGACCCCTCACTGTTGAACCTACCATTCTGCAACTCAGGTCCTGGTGGACCCCCTGGACTTCCAAAGCAAAGAAAGAAGACTCCAGTGCTTTTCAAGCCCTCAGGAGATCTACCTCTTTGTTTTCCAAAGAACTTCCATGGCACTAAATCCTTACGTGGCGAGGAGACTCACATGCTAGTCTAAGAATGCTAGATTTGAACAGAACCTCAGAAACTGTGAGTCAAGGGTCTCAGGAGTTGGAGGACGTCCCCAAGCTGGCAAAGCTCTACCTAGACCCAATCCAACAGCCCCACTGCTAATCCGAGCACAAAAGGTGGATCAACACGGGTGCCTCGGTGGCTGCCTCGGTGCCTTTCCAGTCTCCCAAATCCCAAGCAAAAAAGTTGGGTTTTCTTACGAAACACCTCAGTAAATAATCACAGGTCACCCCTGCCAGAGACAACTCAAGTCACTGCTTGTGAGACAGATGACCAGGACAGCTCCCCAATGTGGCTGGGGAGTGGGAGACTGAGCCGGTAGGAAATGGGGAGAAAAAGGCACAGAAGGTCCCGGCCAGTTCCAGACCTTGTGCTCAAAGACCACAGTTACAGCTACGCAGCCCTCAAAGATGAGCTTTGACCTGGCCTCACTTTCACTGCTTGCAAGCAGGGGACGTGCTCAGAAAGCCCGGGAACAAATCACTTCTGACAGTGAAGACACCTGCAGGTGTCTGTGTTGGCATATCCCATACACAGGGAACCGAACCGTGGCTCTCTTCCCTAACTAAGAGAAGGTCCTTTCTCCCACTAAGGTCTTGGGGACGGGGCCTTCCAGTAACGAGCACTGAAAAGACAGGAAGTGTGGGAAGTACAACCAGAACAGAGAAAGGAAAGCGACATAATTCGTGGGATCATTGCTCAAAAGACCTGATCACCAGCATGGCTACAGAAGCCAGACTCCTTTCATCAGCCTCTCTCCCTCCTCATTATTTACAAAGCAGCACATGACACACTTCGCTCATTTCCAGGCCCCTGTACAATCAATCCCCGATCTTTCCAAGAATCTGAAGTCCAAGGAACCCTCTGTATAGAAATAAAGTCATAACTTACACACCAGAAAGCTCCCAAGATCACCTGGTCAAGACCTAAAACCCCGAGGGTAGAAGCTGAGAGCAGGTCCAGAGAAACTCATCTTGCAGCCAGCTCCCACTGGATGAGAGTGGCTGAGCCTGGACTGAACCTGCCCCCACCCACGTCCCACTCCAGTACAGTCTCCTCCTCCTCCTCCTCCTCCTCCTCTTAGAGTGTCAGGGGGCTCAGGGCCAAAGCCCCAGGCAGGAACTCGTCAGCTCTGCAGCATTCAGAAAGAATAATTACTCTGAAAACTGATCCTGCAACATCCACCCAATTCTTGCTGTGTGCACTGTCTCAACAGGTCTGCACACAGCACCTTGATTAATCCTCACTGCATCCCATTTTAAGATGGGGAAGCAGAGACACAGAGACGGTGTGACTTGTGCAGGTCAACCAGAAAGCACACAAAAGACCAGGGATTTGAACATACAGATCCTGCTCCCGAGATGGGGTTCCCAATGACACCGGCTCTCAAATCTCACCTCTCCAAGAGCCAGAGCCCTTCGTAATCTGCATGCATGGAAACACAGACCAGTCAAAGAACTTTAGAGCCACAGGGTGAAGCAAGCAGCTGCAAGGATCGCCAGTAGGATGAGGGATGTTGGGGCATCACAGGGAAAAGGATCTCTTCCTACTGGTAGGTTGTCTGCCTGTGTGTGTGTGTCTGATCACCTGCTGGCCTCTGTCACTGTCTGTGTTCTCTGCGTCTTCATTTCTGCCTTCCCGAGTCTGCATGTGCCTCTCTCCTCTGTGTCTCCCCTCACGGCTCCTCCACTCTCCCCTCCGGCCCCTCTCTGCTGTGGTTGCCCCAGCCTTCCCTGTTCCTTCCCCGTCTGGCCCCATCTCTCTTCCTTCCTCTGGTACCTTCTTCCCCTGCCTTCACTCTGCCTTCCACTCTTGGGCTTTGCTCTGTGTGATCACTACAGAGCCTGGGTTTTATTTCTACCTTTTGAAGACACAATAGATACCAATCACAGAAGAAATCCCACATTCTGGAAGAGCATTTCATCTGTAACACAGTCACAGAGAAATATGAATAAAACATGAACAAAAAAAAAAATCACAAGACACTCTGACACCGTTATAGCAATGAGCACATGGGTAATTATGTGATTACAAGGTCCCCTGTGAGAACCTAATTAATAAGTCTTTAAAACTAGCTTCAAAGCATGTATCCAAACACCTGAAATAGGGCAGCAGTCACCAGCATGAGCACAGGCTGGCCTTTCCATCCCCTGACAGTAATGCGCTGCCCCCACCAAGCATTGAGGGACATCAGAGGACCTGCTTTCCTCTCCCGCCTGCCCTCACCAGCCAGCACCACAGCAGTGTTCCCGAGGTCACTGACAGGTTAGCACTGGGGTCCATGCATTCAAAACAAGAGGAAAAAATCCTCTCATTTGTATGCATTCCCTTCTGGGTAGAGATCAACATGCTGGCCACATGCACGTACATCTCAAGTCCAGTAGGTGATCATTTCTGCCCTTACCTGGTAGCAACAGAGCTCCCAGTCTGGGACGCTGTGTGTCAACTCCCCATCTTCAAAAGTGTTTCAAAGGCAGGTTAAGTACACACTGTCCTTTGGAAATTGGACACAGGCTAAAGTAATTTATTAAAAAAAGAGACACATCTATGAGGGACCCCATGCTTTAAAAGAAGACAGGTAAGACACAAAGTGTTGTGCCAGCTGGTCCCATTTCTGGTTGCCAGCTAGGGTCCCCAGGGTAGAGTAAAATACGGGGAATTATCCCACCATATTCCAGGACTGTGGACTTAGAAGCATGACAGTATAGTGATATTTTGAAGAGGGAGTGAAAACTAGAACGCTACTGGTCCAAGCAGAACTGCGCATCTTGCTCTATCAATGCAACCTGAGCTGATAAATTTCAATTGTCCAGGGAACCCCAGTCAATTCAGGCACCCAGGTTCCCTGGTTGGCTCTAAACCGCCCTAGGATTTAGAGCCCCAGAGGATGTGGAGTACATAGTGCCAATTTTAGCAGGATGGGAAGAAAGAAATCACACTAGAAACTCCACTCAGATTCCTGGTGGATGAGCACTAGGGTAGTATGTATCCTGCTTGTGGGATAACCAACCCTTCCGGTTTGGGCCCAGAGAATCTTGCATCCCAGGAAACCAGGACTATTGGTCCTCCTCCTTGCTGGGATTTGGGCATCAGGAAGACAGATTTAAATTCTTTTCTGCTACTTTCTATCTGCATATACCTGAGTGAATCAGTTAACTTCCAGCAGGTTACAGACTGCAGGGTACTACAGAGGAGCAACCTGTGGCTTCCAAAAAGAGAGGTCCAAACAAGAACATCCCCTCCCTAGGACTCTTATATGGTGAAGAGTTAAGTAAAAGACATACAGATGAAGCCGTAGTGCCAGCACCTAGCATGTCTTTACTAGATACTAACTTAAATAATAGCATCTTTGATTTAGATTCCCAAAGCAAAAAATTAAGTAATCACACTGATTGGATTTTCAAATGCCAGTTTTTGTCAACAGAACAAAGCAAACAACAAAACCCACAAAGACACTGAGACATCTCCTAGGAGGAGGTTTTCTATTCAGTGCACATTTTTGGACCTTGAAGGAAAAGGATTTTCTTGCAAAGTTTAAAAAATAAACAAATAGCCAGGAGGACATCAGCAGGAGTGCATGGGCTTAGCCAAGGAACCTCACCCACAAAGGCCAAGCCATGACTGCGCTGCCACCTCCCGGGAAGGCCCATTCTTCCACCAGGGCCTTAGCATGCAAACCACACTTCCAACTTCTGTAATGAGTTTCCTCTCCCTTTCACTGAAATGCAACCAGCAGACCCCTTCTCTCTGAGGCTTCTCAGCTCCCCTTCTAAATTCAAAATTTCACTTTAAAACATTTATAAAAATTCTCCATACTGTTAAAACTTACAACTTAGCAAAGAAGCCTGAGTCTTCTTATGGAGATGATATATAATGAGGTTGGCTAGGAAACCCTCTCATTGCACACTTATTAAAAACTAAAATAAATACAGTTTCACATCTCAAGTCCACTGCCTGAAGCCTGCTGCTCTGCAGGCCATCCATAAATCCATGCCCTATAAAACCACATCCTCTCCTGCAGACCACCAGGACAGCCCTGCTTGAAAATTGAGCTCTACGTGCCACACATTCAGCAAATGGTCTTATAGCCCTGT